TAGCGCCCGGCGCATGGTTCTTAGCGCGAGAGAAAGGCAGAGAGAGTCCATAGCTATTGTGGTTTCTGAGCCAAGGGGGGAGCGCTTGCCTTTGGCGAAAGCCCCAATGATTTGGGGCTCTTTCTCTCTTCCCCCCCCATCCTCCACCCCCATTCCTTCTTTTCCTTCTTTTGCCGGAGCGGGGACCCTCTTTCCCTCCCCACCTTTTGCAATATCTACATATCTCAATATGTATATATCTATATATATATTTCCCCCCTCCCCTTCCCCCCCCTCTCCTCTTTGCTTCTGCAAATCCAACCATCTCGACTTTTCCTCCCAGCCATGGCTAGGAAAAAGAGAACGCCTTTTGTCTGAGAGCGGAGGCAGAGAAAGCCAGAGAGAGGAGGAGGAGGAGGAGGAGGAGGAGGAGGAGGAAGAAGACAGAGAGACAGACAGACAGACAGACAGAGAGACAGAGCCCAAATAAATCTGGAGGACCGCAAGGTCTTGGCACTGGAAAAAAACCCCAAAATTTTGGGGGGAAATGACAATAAAGATTTCTTTCCCCCCTTTTCTCTTCCCCCCTAATCTCTCTCTCCCTTCCCCCCCTCAAAAAAAAAACACTGCTAAATAAAGAACTACAGATATGGAGCAGCCCTGGAGAACCGAGGTGTTTTGCTTGTCGTGATGGTGTTATGATAGTGACAGTGGTGATTGTAACTTATTATCGGTGTCTGCAGTTTTCTCTCTATGTGTCTGTGTTTCTTTGCCATTCTGTCTGGGTGCCTTCTTGACCACTGGTGGGTGGGTGGGGGGTTTATAGATATATTTTATTCCCTTTCACCTCCCCCCCCCGGTGGTTCCTATACCATCTCTTCTAGGCAGGGCAGGCTGTGGACCTTCGGGGTGGCAGGAAAGAGAGGGATGGGGTGTGTATGTGTGTTTGCGCGCGCGTGTAGAGAAACAATAGCCAGAGTCAAATTGTCTCCCTTCTTCTCTTCTTCTCCTCCTTTTGGCAATTGTGGGCATCTAGAATTGCTGTTTGCAATGTTTTATTTCCCTTTGAATTGGCTTTGGTGTTTGCACTCCCAGCAAACCCCCCCCCCCACTTTGGTCTTGATTCTGGGGATGCTCTTGAAGCTGCGATGTTTGGGGATATTTATCGATCCGCCTTATTATTTTTTTTTAATTGCATTTTTGATTTTATTTTGTGTTCAGGTTGAAATTTCCTAGCTGCGTGGGTCCCTTGCTCCGGCTCACGGCGGGCGAGGGAAGTAAACATGTTCACTCTACTTTCTCCAAAAGCAGCTGGCTTCTTAGTCGCTTATAGGAACAATGCATTATAGTTAATTAAGTCACTCGGTAATAAAAAAAAAAAGAAGTAGGATTTCTCCCTGCCCCCCCCCACCCATCCGCCTGCCTTCGCGCTGTTGTTTGAAACCGGGTGGGGGTGAATGAGAAGCGAGCATCGGATTAAAAAAAAATACAACATGTAGCTCAAAGCAATTTTTCTTAGCTTTAAATGAAATCTCGCAGAAACATCTGGTGGCGTAAGCTTCTACTACAGGCAGGGGGGAGGAAAAAAAAAAAAACACACTATACCAGTGGAAAAAGGGAGAAGGTTTGCCAAGCTGCATGTTACTGGACTGGAGAACAGAAGACCTTGCTAAATAAATGTTCATTGGTTGTTCTGGCTGTTTTAGATTTTTTGTTAAATATTTATACAGGGAGATCTTCGGGAGGATTATTTTGCTAATCCATAAAGAGGTTGTAGACAACACTGATTGACCAATGTGCTTTTTTTTTTTTAATACGGGAGGAGAAATATCTCAGCATATGCATATGTATGTATGTATGTATGTATGTATGTATGTATGTATGTATGTATGTATGTATGTATGTATGTATGTATGTATGTATGTATGTATGTATGTATGTATGTATGTATGTAAAATATTGTTCTGCAGCCTTACAGGGCAAGATTCCTTTCCTAAAAAGTAAACAATGAAAGGGACACGGCAGTTACAAGAGAGGGAAAAGTAGCTATGTTTAAATTTGCTTTCAGTCAGCCCACTCCTCTCTCCACACCCTGGAATAATTCATAAAGGGGGAAAAGCCCAAGTCTTTGTACACAGTGGTGAGTTAGAAGGGGGGGTGTCTTTCAGAGTGTGTTACATGTGCTATTTTAAACAGAAGGGGCAGCATTGTGGAAGCTGGGTGGCTAGATCGGTCCTCCTGCGCGTCCTTGCATGGGAGTAAGTTCTACTGAACACCCCGGGAGGTGGGGGACTGAGACAAAAAACAACATCCAAGTGGGTGCTGCATAGGAAGGTTGATTTTCAAACCCCCTTGTGATAGAGGTCTGCTCCTTTAAAAAACTATGTCTTTTGTTTGTTTGTTAGAAAAAGGGGGAAAAACACACAAATGGGTATTATTCCTTGTTTCTTCAACTCCGCGAGGCATTGAGTTAGTCCAGATTGTATGTTTTTTGCCAAGATGGGAAAATGCAAAGAGAAAGGACAGGATGATCCAAAGTTGTGTGGACCTAGAAAGATAAATTGGGGGTCAGGCCTGCAGAAGCTGGAAATGTGTTGTAAGAAAGAGGTCAACAACGGGATGCATTTTGTGGAAAGCAGGAGGGATTAATCTGTGGCAAGTGTGACTTGGGAGTGTTGCCGGAAGTTGAACGGCCACTTTTCTTACAAGAAGAAGATGCTCTTTGTAGAAGCATCTCACCTGCGGAAGCAGATGTTGTGTTCTTGCCTAGATAAATGATGCTCCTGCATGCATGGTGCTTTCGGTATGGCTTCTCAATGTGTTTTACCTGGCAGTGGTGGTCACATCACCTTTTGTATTAAAGGTCAGCTGGAATTCCTTCGAGAAACATTTCCAAAACTACTGCTGGTGAACTTCTAGGTGGGTTTGGAAGCCACCGTGAGTGAGACAGGCTGTCTCTCTCTATGAGTAAATCAACCGGATCTGTAGGAGCAAATCAATCGAATGTGCATAAAAGTTGTTGGTAGCTCATGGGGGAAATCAGTGGTTTAAAAAGGCGGGTAATGACCAACCTTTCTCTTTCGTAGCTTAAAAATGTGTACAGCAGGATTGTGTGTGGTTTTTCATAGGGCCGTGTGCCTGTGGATCATGTGTGTATGCTTCTTACAGTTTACCTATACCAGTATTTATATATGTATGTATTTGCAATCTGTATATATAAATGATGCATCAACTGAAATATAAAATCTAACTGAGCTTTTCTTGATACCAAGGCATAATGAATTCCAGTGGAATAGATTAATTTACTGCTTGTACTACCTGGAAAAAAACATTTTAAGGATTAAAAGTTCTGTGGGTGCCCATAGGAATGACCATATACTTCTGGAGTAAACTCGCTCATTTTGATATAGTTTGGCCCTCGGTTACCCCATGCAAAATATGGATTATTTTACTGTGCATCAGGTACTGGTGTGATAAAATGTTTAATATCCACTGCTCAGCACTGTCTACTTTGGCTTTCCTTAGCCTCTCTGTTTATCTGTGCATTGCTGTCTAAATTAATCTGTTTTTGACAGTAGGCACTTCAATTAATATAGGAAAGAAGATCAGGTATGTTCCTTTTGCTGAGAGAGATATAAAGGGGGAAGCATTTGGTTTGGTTTTTCTCGTGCTGCAGAGCAAATACTTGCTAGGGGAGCCTTCGGGGTGAGCAAAACTCGGGAAGATAAACACATTGCAAAAACCAGAAATGAACTAGAAGTCAGTCTTGGCCTGCAAAAGGACTGGATCTTAGAACTCTGACCCAGCCATCCAGCGTGTTTCCTATTTTAGCAAAGCATCTACTGGAAAAAAAAAAGAACAGGCCAATAAAAAGAGTCATTTGATTTTTGAAATAATCGTTTGATCATTTCCACCATGTGTTATAATAGTCCTCAACTGACAGGAAGCATTGAGGAGAGAAATGAACACTAGCAATTATGGCTGTCCATGGTTTAAAACGTGATGAAACTAGCCTGGGACAAAGCCATCAGAGTTTGGTTATAGAAGAAGACAGCATTTCAAGTTAACGGGTGCATGCGGGCGCCTGCCGATCCCACGCGGATTAAAAACGACAGAAGATTACTTTAATACCACAAAGATCCCTGGACAATTCTGCCCGGCCCGAAAAAGGCAGTATTACATACATTGGAAGCGTTTCTAACCCACCCTTCAAATATTTGCATTATTCATCGTATGTAAACAACAAGTGGTCTTGTTTTTGTGGGGGTTTTGTTAATTGTATTTTTGCATTTATAAACCCCCTATCAGATTCTTGAGACAGAGCAAATTACGGATATGCTCCTCCAGTTGCTTGATGCCTGCGACTGTATTTTAGTTGCAAAGCACCTTTTGACGGATTTTTGTTTGCTTGTAGAATGTAGGGAATCCTCACCGTGAGCAAATATGTGGTTTGAAAGTGGTTGGAGGGTAGGAGGGGGAGAAAGAGGAGAGATGGGTATGGGAGTGTACTTTATTACAATCCATGTAAATGTCTGCCATCTTTATTGTTGGACACCTTATGCCTTCAGCTAGGACCCTTA